GGGGCTGGGAGGGAAGGAACTAGCCAGGGGGCGGGCCCTGAGGAGGCGGAACTAGAGACCGGATACTTCCCCCACCCTCGTGTGCTCCCGCAATGTCAATTAATTGCAAATGCGCCTAACGGTCTTCGTCTGGGGCTCGAGGTCGTAACTTCTCCTGGTCGTCCGCTATGGTTTCTCCAGTCCCAAGCCAAGGTCCTCGAGCGTCACGGTCCTGCCTTGGACCGGAGACACAGTTTACGGATTACCGGGGCCTGACCCAAATGGGCTTAAAATAGCGGAACGCACCTCCACTGTTCTTGCCCCCCATTGAGAAACGCCTTCAGGTCTGCGTGGTCCCCTGCTGAATGCGGACCTCTCCGGGACCTGACTGGACGCTCTTGTTCCTAGCCTACTGATGCCTTCCCGGTAACCTTGGCACAAATTGATTTTCTTAGGAGAGAGGTTTTTAAGTAACTAGCAAAAACCATTGCCTAAACTGAAAAGTTGAGTTTTCATCCAACTGAAAATGAATGGGCTTTCTACTTAAGATCTGTAAAAGGAACTTTTGAACTATAACGCAGTCTACCTATTAAGTTGTAAACTGTTGTTAGGTGCTGTCGAATCAGTACCGACCCATACTGACCTTATGTACAGCAGAACCAAACACTGCCCTCCTTAACCTGGGCCAACCTCACAGTTCCTTCAACGCTTGAGCACATTGCTGCTGCCACAGTTTTAAACTAGACACTCTTATAGGTACAAGGGTAGATCAAAAAGTATTGCTGCAAAATCATACAACCTTTATTAAACAGAAATAACAATGTAAAGCTATTGTTTCTCGGTATAGTCTCCATCTAGGTCTAAACACTTCTGAAGGTGGTATTTCTCTAATCCGACCTTGAATTCTGCATGCTTGGCATTTATATCACATTAAAATGACAGTGTTGGCATCCTTCGAGGAATCAAACTGTGTTCCTTTTCAATGTTCTTTGAGTTTGAGGAAGAAAAAGAAGGGGCAAGATGAGAGCTTTAAGGTGTATGGGATAAGGTTTGCCAAGTACTCATAGAACAGCACATGCTATCCTTTGAAGAATGACTAAGGGCGTTACAGTAATGGAAAAAAAATTCCTCACTGCAACTTCCCTGGCCTTTCTTCTTACCAATGTTTTGTTTTGTTTTGTTTTTAATATTCTTGGAATTTCCTGAATTAAGCCCCTGTTACAGTCCTGAGTCCTTTAAGAAAAACTGTAAATATTAACCTTGAAGATCCCAAAAAACTGTGATAACCTTCTGAACTGACCTCTCTGCCTTGAATTTAACTGTTTCAGTAGATCCCCTTGGAAGCCACAGATTTGATTGGACGTTGCTCTCTGAATTGTATTGTTCAGTCCAAGGCTTTTTCCATAAAATAAACTTCATCAGCTTCGATCTTGCTTACAATACCAGGTGAAAAGATTGAGCTAGGTGATCTTTACTCTTGGCACCTATAGAGTCAAAAGCTTGCTAAGCCTAAAATATTGGCTTAAAATCGAAAATGCGGAATCCCATGAGATCCCACCAATTTATGGACTTTGTGGTCATTTTTTGTTAACGTTGACAATCTTCCTTCTCTAGGCTTATCTTTGAGGTCTTCCTGATCTTCCTTAAAATGCTTGATCCATCTAAAAAAGTGTTGCTTTATTTGGGGGCAGCATTACTGTAAACTTGTTGCAAAGCTTCAATGATTTGGGAAGGTGTTGAGTTTTATAAAGAAAAATTTTTTATTAGTTCTGACTTCAAAGTTGTTTTTTTTCCATAGCACAAAAAGCCCCCACTACCCTCACCCCTGTGCCTTTTTAAGGCATCCTAATCCCTGGAGTCCTGGTGTGGTGCTGTGGGTTAATGCACTGGACTGCAAGGTTGGTGGTTCAAGCTCACCAGCCGCTCCTCAGCAACCCTCGCAAACTCCAGGCTTACTATGGGTGAGAACTGACTTGATGGCACTTAACAACAACAATGAAACTAAGACAGATGGAGGAGGAGTCTTGAAAATGGAAAAATGGAATTAAAAGATCATGGAATTTTCCATGAACCTATTATTGAGACAACTTGTCTGTAGCGACCCACTGATCACAGAGACATGTTTAAACATGTTTTATTTGGAGTACGCTTGTGCATGTATGAACTGGAACACTAGAAGCAATACTTTTTAACTTAATCATATTTAAAACATATTGAGTTAACTCAGTGTCCATGTAAGCCCTCAAAAGGGCATGACTTTTAACCTAAAAATAAGCCTCCTTATATTCAGAAAAAATAAAATTCTTAACAGTGATGTCAAGGTCAATCTATGATTTTCAGAATGTATCATGCTGGGAACCATTATCAAGGACAACTTAGTAGGTCTGCGACTTTAAAGTTGATGAGAAAACAAAGTAGTGCAGGTAAATCCTTTTTTTTTTTTTTAAGAATCTTTGTGAAGTTTTAGGATCCCTGTAGAATGAGAGAATATCTTCAACTATTTCCAGTTGTAATGCAAACATTGTTGTTGTTGTTAAGTGCCATCAAGTCGGGTCCGACCCATGGAGGTAAGATAATGATAACCTGATAAATTCACTTCCATTTTGGCATTGGTATTCTGAAGTTTCTCGTTCCATTGTTCTACAAAATGATGCCTGTCTCCACCTTTTAAAAATTAATTTCTACACTGAACTGTGCTGGTAGAAATTGCTGAATTGGTTATGTTTGAGGATATTCTTTTTTTTTTCTTTCCATGTTTTATTGTGAATTATATGATATTTTACATGGGAGAACTTTAATTTTACATTCATTCCACCATACATCGTTTCATTGCCATGGTTCCAATCCCCTCCATGCATCATCAATCGACCAAAGGGTGTAGGGTATACCCTATAAACCCGCCCCCTACACTCCCCTCCCCACCCATCCCCCCAATTCTTCAGCACACAGTCCCTCTCCCTCTCTGGATCCAAATTCCCTAGCTGCTTCATCACTCCACGTCATCGTCTCTGCCTCCATCTGGGCCTCGCTGCTTCTCTGGGTAGGGTCCCGCTCTTCCCCAATGATGATCCCAGAGACCTCCGCTCCTAGACTACAGAGTTAATCACTCCCTTCCTTGCTACAAAACGTCTACGTTTACATTTCCAACCCTCACAATCAGTTCTGATAACAATCGTTCACTATTGTATTACAAGTGACCCTTCTGCATTTCATTTCATCCGCTCCGCCTAGACAGATTGGATAGTCTCACTGGAGATTCTGCCTTCCTCCATGCCCCCTAGCTCTAGGTTCCCTCTTGAAAGCTTGTAAGCCAGTCACTTCTTGCTTTTGGAGTCCCGTTCCCCACCCCCCCCCAATTTGGGTATCCAGTGTCCAAGTTGCCCATCTCTGTCTACTCTATGTGTGGAGGGGGTGGGAATGTTTCTTGCTGTAAGGATTTGTTCCCTCTTTTGGGTTACTGCATCCATAGGTGTAGGTCAAGTTCATCAAATTGTATCAAGTCACTCTTTTTTTTTTCTCTTCTTTCTTCTGGTTGAGTTCTGATCATTCATTCATCGGGGCCAGGTCACGTGGGTACCATCTGCAGGTGTGGGTGTTCTTGTGCGTATGCCCTCTCTTCCTATCAGCTGGTAACTTCACTCTCCACTCTGGGCCTCTGTGGCCACACCGCTGACTCTGGGCTCAAGAGTCCCCAGGTCTCCCCACACTGCTGGCCAACTATGTCCCTATCCGGGTCCACAGAAGCCCACGGAACATTGTAGGGCTTAGCTTGCCGCTTTATTGATGCTTTTACCCCACTTCTCCCTATCGGCGATGCGTGTGATCACCAATCAGAGCGTGTATTTCTGTTGAGTCTTAGCCTTGGAAGGGGGTTTTCATTAAGGGGACCCGACCACTTGTCTTGATGTTTCCTGGGCAAGCAATTTGTTTGTTCTTATAGTAACAGTCCATCTGCCTCTATTGTTTTGTATTTTTCCTGTAGGTCTTTCTTTCAAGAAGTATCTTCTGTTCTTCTAGCTGCTCCAGGCTGGTTTGCTCATCCTTTTAAGTGGGAGTTTCCCATCTCTGGAGATCTGGATGTGGTTCAGGCTTCTACCTATAGTCTTATGTATTGCAGAGGCTTGAGGATATTCTTAATAACAAGAAAAATGAATTAAAATGTTTTATTTCTTAACAAAGAACATTAACAAAATAACAAAAAGTTAACCAAACCCTGTCTCTGTGTGTATTTAGGAAGGCTGGCACAGAAAACTTTTCCATAAACATCATTGCAGCTCATTTTAGGTCAGGGACAAGTAAAAAAAAGGGAGGGGGGAGTTACTTTTAGAAGGAAAGAGAAAGGACTAGATTATTTGCCGGGGTCTGGCCTCGGCAAGGGGGTGAGTACCCGAAGATGGGGTGTCCAGCTATGATGGCGCGCGAGAGAGAAAAAACAGACACACAGAAGGCAGAGAAAACAGATACAAAGAAGACAGACACACAGGCTTGATGCAAGCTGCCAGACAGACTGCTCGGTGGCAGACATTGCACCCAAAACTAACTCTAGATAACTCTAGGTGGGATGTCTGGAGGAGTGA